TAATAAAGGCTAGATAAATAAAGATATGAAAAGAAACAATGATAGATAGAGATTTTAAAAAGCCTTTATGATATCTGTGGTATCCAATGTTTAGATGATCCTACAGTCTTTAGTGTCCCCCTGTACTTCGGTCCGTGCACATTAGTTCCGGTCCCACAGGTTTCTACTTCCGGTAAGGGCACATTAGTGTTGCATCAGCATCCACTCATTCAAAGCTGTGGCAATGTCGAGCTCAGGAGACACAGGTAAACATTTTACATTTGTCATAAAATGTATTTTTATTTAGGACGTATTAATAACACATCTTAGAGTTAATGACAGCTCGGTTACATGTTTTTACAAACTGTCTTCTTAAATTAGCTTCAGCTAAGTGCGTGTTAGCGAGCAGCTCAGCTAAAGGCAGGTGTGGATTTAAAACCGAAACTGCCTTTAAAATTCTGCAGATTTAAGCTGAGGGTCCACCGAGTGCAGCTTGTTTAAAACACAGAGGTCAACAAATAATAAACTTTAAATATGAAAGGACCGGTTTATTATCGGCAAGTGTTCCAGATGTTCTATTTTATTACAGGCTAATTTAATTAAAAAAATAATTTAATGCTTAGCAAAAGACTAGCGGCAGGTAGCTGTCACTTCTATTAAAAATAGTTTTCTAATTAATTAACAATAGTGAGTAGTTTGGATGTTTTATTTAATTTTATTTTAGCAGACTTTTCCTAAACTGGTCACATCTGCCCAGATGTGGTTTAAATTATCACATTAATAAATAATATAATCAGTTTAACCTGCACCTGCTACCTGATAACATTAAAATGTAGGTTTTAGACTTGTATTAAATAATTATATTAATTCACTGTTTGATTTCATCACTCTGTTATTCAGTAAGCTTCTCATGAATAACTGGTGATGTTTTACTTTTTGTCAAGACTTTCTGTTCTTTGTAATAAATTATTTAACAAAAACGGGAAGTTTCCTCCTGATTCATCAGATGCATAAATATCTGCTGAAGATAAAACTGTAGAGACGTTAATAAATAAACTGTTTATTTAAACTTGGTCACATAGAAGACAAATRTTTGTTTTAGTTTAATGTTTTTATGTCAGGACTGTAGGATTGAATCTTCTCGCTCTGCCCTTATTGTGAAATTTTTAATATCAAAACAGCATGAACATGTTTTTAAATGATAACTAAATGTTTATTTTCTTATTCTAATTAGTTTCCATGATATAAGCATTCATCAGCATATAAGAGTTCATGTGAGCTGCATCAAGTCCAAATCTTTTATCTCCATTTTTGTTGTTTTTGGTTTAGTTGACCTGTTTCTGTCTGATCGCTGTCATCAGGACTCAKGTAGTCTGCTGGACTCCTCTGGTCGCTGCTGACATCTGTAGCCTCATGTTTTACCTGTAAGGAGACAAACTGACAGAAAAAGAAGCTGAAGTCCAGGAGCTTCAGAAAACCTGGAGAAAAGACCTGAAGTCTGGATCAGGAGTGTTTGTGAAGCTGTTCACAGGAAAACTGCAGCAGCTGCAGTCAGCAGCCTTACAGCTGATTATTGGGAAGAGTTACTGGATCTGTAGGTTTCTGAAGAGTTTATCTTTGGGGGGGTTTCTGANTGTGTCTGTGTGTCTGTGTCTGTGTGTCTGTGTGTGTGTGCAGTGGCTCAGGTTATCTCTGATTAAACAAACTGCACTCTGCTGCTGGTTGAAGCTGCTTTAATTAAAACAATTCTTCAGTTTTAGGAGGAACATCACTTGGTAAATAGTTTGTTTTTTATGTTCTTTACCTGAATTAGTAAAACTGTGTTAAACTCTGCAGACATTTGTGACTCATCATATCCAAGTGAGGATTCAGTCAAATTTGGTCAAAATGGATCCAGAGATTTGACTTAATTTGTCTTGTTGGTTACGACGATACATTAATATTTGGTCTGAATTCTTATTTTATGTCATTTTAATTTTAATTTTAATGTCATGATAAAGAAAAAAAACTCAAATGTTGTTTGAATATTGAGATTTCTTAGCTGAAAAGAACGAAACATTGCTGCTCACAGGGAAAATCTCAAAATTTTAAGGCGTTTTTCCTCAAAATCAAGTTTTTTTGTTGCTGCTGCTCAAAAAAATGCTTCAAAAATTTATTTTACGATTATATTTCAGACACTTCATTCAAATGATACATTGATAATTGATACATTGATTATATTTTCAGTCGCGTTTGTCGTTCTGTTTGTGGACAACATTACTCAGAAACTTGTGGACAGATTGTCGTGACATTTACAACACATGTGGATACTGGCACAAGTAACACACCATTAAATTTTGGTGATGTTCCGGATCACGATGTGGATACAGGATTTTTTTTTTCTTTTAATCCTCTCAGATCAACAAAGCTGTGATGCTTTCACAGGGCTTCTGTAAAAAACTGTGACAGCTTTCAGTGTTTGGACTTCAAACTTTATAAAAGTCATGTTAAACCAGATGTAATGATGAATAATTCTTGCCATAATGTGCACATTTTTACACATTTGGTGCACATTTACAGAACGTTTTGTGCCCAGGAAGTGCGTGACTGCACCATGAAACCTGTTTTTCCCATTTCCTCAAACACACCACATTGTCGGTAGTAGGGTTGGGCAATATTGGCAAAAAAATAAATCACGATTAATTGTGGAATTTAGCCGATAACGATTAATTTGACGATTAATCCCCTGGAGTCCCGGGACACCCTTATTTC